GCAGATCATCATAAATATGAGTCAGTTACCAAGTGTCCAAATTTTGGTCACATGATGATGGGGGTGCGGCAATGGCCGTAAGTATTTTAAAAAGTCACTTTTTTCATGCTGTTGTAACTTTGAACAGTCACTAAATGAACTGTTGTAAGTCAAGGACTATTTGTATGTGCTGTGTTTTCTCTCTTCTTCAGATTTATTTTGTTTATAATATTTATCAGGGGAAGGGAAGGGAAGAAACAGGAAAAGGAAAGGAAGGGAAGGGAAAAGTAAGGATAGGAAAGGATGGGAAGAGGGAAATCAAAGGAAAGGAAGGGAAAGGAAAGAAATGGTGTCGGGTCGCCTGCTTGGGCTGGGGGTTGGACTAGACCAAGGGTCACCAACCTTTTGGACCTCAGGGACCACCAAACTCATAATTTTAAATCCCAGGGACCACTAAATGGTTCTCTGGGTGTGGCCTAATTTGTGGGTGTGGCTTGGTGGCCATGTGACTGGCTGGGCATGGCTTGTATGTAAATATTATAAATATTTATACACATATTGATTTTTATTAAAAAAAAAAGAGCAACTTTTATCCAAAATCAGGCAAAGCCGGCAGGCAGATTGAGTTGCTCACAACATCACAGATTCATTCAGAGATCTATCTATCTGTCATTGGCTAGCTCAGTCTGTTACATAAAATTTGCTTGCAAGCAAACTCACAAAATTAACTCACAATGCACCATCTATGTAAATATTGAATTTTTATTTTTAAAAAAGAGCAACTTTTACCCCAAATCAGGCAAAGCAGGCAGGCAGATTGAGTTGATCACAGAATAATTCAGTGATCTATTGATCTGCCATCGGCTAGTTTACTCTGTCACATAAAATTTGCTTGCCATGAGTCTGCACTGAATAATAGAAGCTTCAGTCCTAAGGGAGGTTCGGCTGTGCTTAAAAGCAGAGCCGAAGATCTAAAGACTAGCTAGAAAGCAAGAAATCCAACCATTTCCTGCTTCCTAGCTAATCTAAATCTCCCGGCACAACAGAACAGCTGATGGTTGGAAAAATAGCAATTTAGCAGGCAAGTTTGCTGGGTAAGGAGTGAGTGGGTGGGGAGGGTTCCTGCGGACCATGTGGGTGGTGCAGCTTTGTGTTTCTGCACAGCCTGGATTAATGCTTTGGAGGGGGGGGCTCTGGGAGTAAGATTTCTCTGCAGCCCACCAAAATTTTCTCGTGGCCTATCAGTGGGCCACAGCCCACTGGTGGCAACCGCTGGACTAGATGACCTACAAGGTCCCTTCCAACTCTGATTATCTGTTATCTAGAAAGGAAAGGAGAGAAGATGAAAGAAGGGGAGGGGAGGGGAACAGGAGGGAAGAAGGAAAGAAAAGGAAGGGAAGGGAAGGGAAAAGGGAAAGGAAAGGAGAGGAAAAGAAAGGAAAAGAAAGAAAATGAAAGAATCCCGCTTAAATAGCAAAGAAACATCTCCCTTGTGTGTGGAAAAATCAGCAATAGGCATGTGAGGATAAAAAGCCCAATTTATGCCTGCGTTTTATACCTTTATAAATCCTTAAAAGGCTGTTTCAGCACAAAGTAAATGAGCATTCTATGAGCAGAGAGATTGAATAAAAAAAGCAACAGACAAATATCAGAATAAATAGAATGCAAAATATAAATATCCTGAACATTTAGGGAGAGAATAAGATACAGTCAATATTGCAAGCACTTTGAAAAACCATTTGTTAGAAGGGAATCTGGGCTTGAGTACATACCGGCTTAAGGTTCCTATTGAAAATAAATAAGTCTTCCGTTAATTGAATTTGGAGTCTTTTGAATCTGCCATTTTCTCCTCTCCTCCCCGCCCAAATGCTTTCACGTATTCTAATGCTTAATGAAGTATCTTTTCATGTTGTACATTATCTATTTTTTTAAATAAAATCCAGTTCCCAGGTTATACAGTATAAAGTGAAGCGGAAAAGGCTTGTGCAAAAGGAAATGATAAGCCAATAGCTTACAATCAGGTTTTAGAACATATTGAGTCAGATGGAACTATTGCTAAAATCTCTGATTATTGGAAAGGGGAACAATGTTTATGTTTCCCCTAAAAATATTCAGTAACCTATTTATTTACTTACTTATTTACTTGCCTTTTATAGGCTGTTCTACTCAGAGTAGACTCTGGATGTCTTATATATAGGTCACACACACACACACACACACACACACGTTTTCTTAAGTTTTCTTAAGTTAAAGAAAGAAGATATTAGAAACACCAATCAAGCAGAACACAGCAAACTCCGAGACCAATAAACACAGACCAAGACTCCCAACCAATCAGGATGAAGAAAAAACCATTCTGGCACAGCAGTAGGCTAGCCCCAAATTTAAAACAGAAACGGCTGTGAAAGTCTGACTCACAGACGAACACAATACAGAAGCCTGATGATGGCAGATGAGATTCTGCCGAAACGTTGCTACAACTTTAAAAGCACAGCTATAATGACGTGGGAAAATACCCAAACAAAGCTGAATAACATACATGTAAGTACCCATGAAAACTTAAGAA